GTTTTTCATAAAGATATTTTTCATTTCCTGTCAATGATGGTTCCTTAACTTTGGCATCATCATCATCATTATTATTATTATTATAGTTAATATTAGTAGCGGTGGTGTAATTATTTATTAATATTAATTTTTTATTATTATTATTGTTATAATTAATAAAAAATCTTTTATGAAATAAAAAATTCAAATTTGAAAATTTAATTTTTAACATCTTTTTCGTTTTAAAAAAAAAATTTTCTTTTTTAATTAAATAGTTCTTGTACTACCAATTATGCACTATTTACCTTGCCACGTGGAAATTTATCAAAATTTCAAGTTTGACTTTTTTGACTGTAAATATAAATTATTTATCATTAAACAAAAGAAAAATGGATCATAGATTTGTTTCTTCAACAGATTTGGAAGAAGCTAAACGTAAAAGGGCAGAAGAATGGAAAGCTGCTTATGAACGACTTGGGCAAAGTATTAACCACCAATTAATAAAAATAAAAATAAAGGCATTCTTTTTTAGTAGAAAGACTAATATATATATATTTTAATAGAACCACCCGAAAAAGAAAAAGAAGAATATGATCCTCGCACGTTATATGAAAGATTACAGGAACAAAAAATGAAAAAAGAAGAAGCATTTCAAGAGATGACGCGGTTTAGTAACTTGGTACATAGACTTGATGAAGATGAAATTGAATTTTTAGCAATGTTAGACAATGAAGAAAAAATTAAAGAATTGGACAAATCAAAAAAAGTAGAAAAGGAACTTGAAGAATTTAGACGGTAAGTAAGCCTGTTCATATGATTGGATTAATTGTAGTATCTTAATTTTTTATCATCATTATCATCATTTATTACATATTATTATTAATTTTTAGTGCGGCGGCTGAGGCTGATATAGCAACATTATCAAAACCTTTATTATCAACAACAGCAACAACCACCACGATAACAAACCATCAACAGCCACAACAAAAAACTAACAAACCTAACTCGACTAGTAATAAATTAAATTCAAAACATGATGTACAACAAAAGATTCTTGCTAATGCAATTAAAAAATCTAGTGATTCATCATCAACATCATCAACATCAAGGAAAAGATCTTTGATAATAGATAAAGATGATCATGACAATCATGATAAAAGTGATAAAAACCATAAGATTAAAGACCATACCAAAGATTCAAAAGAACAATCAAGAGATGTAAAACGCGCAAAAATAGAAAATAGTAAAGAAATATCTGAAAATATAAAAGATGTTGAAGGTTCTTCTTCAAATGTCAAATCAAATATAAACAATAAATCATATTCACAAAACGTTAATGCAAACACAAATCCTTTGGCACTTTTATTAGGATATGATGATGATGATGATGATGATGATGATGATGATGATTGATGCATGCTAATTATAAAGACGGTTAAAATAGTAATTGATAATTATAATTATAAAGATAAATAAATGTTAAATAGAATTAATAAAGATAAAGTTAATATTAAATATGATTATGGATGATAGGACCAGTGAATCCTGATAGATTAATAATACTTTTAACCTAATCTATATTATTATATACATTTTGAGAGGAAAATTTTGAGTATGATCAATTTATAGCATGTCTTATATATATTACATTCAGGAGTTTTCAATTCTGCTTATTTATCATTTTCCGATACAAGTTTAAAATAAATATTGGAAATGCAGAACTTTCATATTGTAATTACAATTTTGAGAATAGCTAGTGAAATGTATTTTACAAAATCATTATGCTCATTATGATATCCAATATTTATTAAGACTATGTTTAAACTCTTATAATAAGAATAAATTTTTTGTCTATCTTCAAAAGTATAATGTTCTTGGATGAAATGACCAGCAGCAGGATGTGCATCAAAACCAAACCATGATGATAAAACCAAGTATATTAACAATATTATAAATCATAATATTTGTTGTAGTTGTGAATACCAAATTAATGTATTCCCAAAAACTTGAACTTTTCTGCGTAGATAATCCTCTGATGACATACATAATAGGATAAATATTCAGCCAAAGAAATTTTAAAAATGCATTGCCACAGAGCATTTTCTTTTACCACTCCAAAGAAACTGAACCAAAGATGGCCCTGCAACTAGGAACAATAAGAAAGCCCTAGATAAAAATATATAATGCAATAATAAGTAAGTACAATGAATGGAAAGGAAACTATAGTGGCAATTATCTAAAGACATCATCAAATGTTGCCAATCTTTAAGTGCTGATACTTTATTAAATATGGGCTATTTTACCAAAAACTCTCTATTTTTGCAATATTCTAGACATGAAAAATAATGTAATAGAAAGTTTTTTTTGAGTTATTTAATTAAAAAAAAAGTTATAATGGTTTAAAGTTGGGTAACTTTGCTATTTTATTTGAAATTTTGGCAACTATATATCTAAACTGCAATTTACCAATTATTCACGTGACAAAGTCACAGATCTTTTACAAATTTGGATTTATTTTATTTATTAGATTCTTTATAAAGCAAGATCAGCATAAAAATTTTGGCAAGTGGCGCAGCACGTGATGTCTTTAGATGATTCGCACCATACTACAATTATGTACAGTCATACCTCTTTTATATCCCCCCTGATTTATATCCCAACCTTGATTAAATCCCACAAATGAGCCATGACGGTTTTCCCTATATTATTTTAATATAAACTTTACCCCATTTATATTCCATTGAGTTATATCCCTATCCCCAATTTTCTGGCATCGTTATATCCCCATTTTAACCTTATTTGTACATGATATACATGTGTAACTTATAATTTATATACTACTATATATAATATAGTCATAATAAAGTATTTTCTTTTTTAACAACAAAAAATTAATTACTATATAACTATTTGTTTTCTTGATGGTAATTTTTGCATTCCTTTAATGAAGAAGAAGGTATTTTTAGGTGGCAATTTGGTTTATTCCTTTAATGAAGAAGAAGGTATTTTTTAGGTGGCAATTTGGTTTATTCCTTTAATGAAGAAGAAGGTATTTTTAGATGGCGATTTGGTTTATTCCTTTAATGAAGAAGAAGGTATTTTTAGGTGGTGATTAAGGTTTCTAGTCAAACTGTTTTCTCAAAGCCCAAACTAGTTTGGGCAATTTGGGCTTCTCAACATTTTCTATAAGCATGAACATTAAAAAACTATATGAATCAACTTGTTTTAACTTAAACAACTTTAAAATAATTTTGCCCAATTTCAGCTAATAACAAAAAGTAGTTTGGGCTTATAAAAAAATAATTTTGCCCAAAGTATTTGGGCAATTTCAGCTACTAATAGAAGCAGTTTCGACCAGAAACCTTAGTGGCGATTTGGTTTATTCCTTTAATGAAGAAGAAATTATTATCAATTATTGAGGATTTAATTTATTCCTTTAGCAACAAAGAGTTATTGAATATTGTTTTTTTTGTGTTAATTGGTTATTCCTTTAATGATAAAGAAACTAATTGTCAAATTATTCTTTTTTAGGCGGTATCTTGGTTTGTCCATTTAACAATGAAATTTATCAATCATTATTTCTTTTGGTGGTGACTTGGTTGATTCTTTCAAAAACAAAAGGAATTAATTATCAATTATTCTGATTGTTTTGATGGTGATTTGTTTCTTAACAATAAAAAAATTTTTCGTGGCAAAGTATCTTCTTTACATGTATAAAATAACTGTTTTGACTTAGGCATAACATGTACATATTTTTACCTTAAAAAAAAAAATTTAATAAATTTACAAAACCTAATTTCAAAGAATTTACCTTTTTCTTTTTGCATAAATTGGTTCATCAAATAATGGATAATAAAAAAAGAAAGCAAAGAATCCCACTTTCTCTAGAAGACAAAATAAATATTATTAAAAAGAAAGAAACTGAAATTAATATAAGTGATGAAGCTCTTGCATTAGAATATAATGTTGACCGCTTCACAATCAGTGGTATCATCAGAAAAAAAGAAGATCTCTTAAAAATTTACTCAAATGCTAAAACAAGTGAATTGAAAAGAACTAGGATCCAACCAAGTCGATTTCCAGTGTTAGAAGATGCATTGTATAAATGGTTCCAAGGATTACGTAGTCAAAATATACCTGTTTCCCAAGAGCTGCTGAAAAAAAAGGTTATGTATTTTTACAATGAAGTGAAGAATAGAGGTGTGCAATTTCCTCAATTTGAAGCATCAAATGGATGGTTAGAAAACTTTCAAAATCATATGGGATTAGTAGTAAAAATATTACTGGTGAAAGTCAATCTGCTAATCTTCAAAATGTTGAAGAAGGAAGAGCAAGATGTCATATATTATTGGCTGAATATGAATTAGATGACATATACAATGCAGATGAGACAGGATTATTTTTTTGGTTAGCACCAGATCAGACACTTGCAACAATAAGTGATCAAGCAAAAGGATATAAAAAAGATAAAGAAAGAATTACAATCCTTTTTTGCTGTAATGCAAGTGGAAAAAATAAAATCAAACCTCTTGTTATTGGAAAATCACAAAAACCCAGATGCTTTAATAATATTAACATTAAAACATTACCTGTCAGATATCCCAATAACAAAAGTGCTTGGATGACAATGCAATTATGGAATAATTGGTTGAAATGTTTTGATTTCACATTAGAGAAAAAATCAGTTTTGTTGATTGATAATTGTCCTGCTCATACTGATGGTTCACACCTTGGTCTTAAAAATTTACAAGTAATATATCTTCCTCCCAATACAACATCTCATATTCAACCATGTGATGCTGGAATCATTCACAATTTTAAGGTCAATTACCAGAATACACTTGTGTCAAAATGGATTAAAGATCTAGATGAAGGAAATGAGATTAAAAAAATAAATATTAAGCAAGCAATTGACATTGTTGGAGAGGCTTGGGATAATGTCAAAGAAGAAACAATAAAAAATTGTTGGAAAAAAACAGAAGTATTACCACCAAGCAGAACATTAGAGATTGCAAATGAACCTACATCAAATGATATTCTTGAAGAATTAGTTGATGGTCTTAGAAAAGTTAATATCAATTGTACAAATAATTTAACAATGTCAGCTGAAGATTTTGTTAATATTGATTCACGTGTTATAATGACTGAATTACCTACTGATGAAGATATTGTTGAAGACATTCTCATTTCAGAAGGTGTTCATGTTGAAGAGGAAGATGTGAGCGAAGAGAGTGAGGAAGAATCAGTCATGTCTATAAAAGAAGGAAGGAAAGTACTTGAAAATGCCAAAAAATTCTTGGAACAACAAGAATTTGCTACAGAAAAGGATATTAAGTATGTTAAAGAGTTAATAAAACGTTTAAATAGTTTTGAAGATAAGACAAAATGTCAATCTTTGTTGACAGAATTTTATTAATTTTATTGTTATATTAAATAAATTTTTATATTAAATAATTTTTATTTAAAAAATTGAAATCACGTGAATTATCAATTGCTTGAGTTATATCCCACCTTAGTTATATCTCACAAAAATCCCAAATCAAAAAGGGGGGATATAAAAGAGGTATGACTGTATGTATGATAACAATGATTATTAAAAATTACATTATTTTTTTGTCAAAAATTATTATTTTTTATTTAGTGTGCATATTTGACATCCAAATTTCAAAATGAAAAAAAAAAAAAAATACAAAGAAGTTATTATATAATATCATTACTCAAGACATTTAAACTATAGTAGCCAGATAAATAAAATAAATAAATAATACATAATAAGTGACAGGATTTAACTTATTCAAATAAGTCATCTGGTATAGCTAAATCAATT